CATCCAATCTACCGAGTCACCAGCTATCAAATGCAATAGAAACACAGTCACTATGCAATGTCCCCACATCACATGTATCAAGTCATCAGCTATCAAATGCAATACAAAGACATTGAATATGTCATGTCCCCACATTCAATGTACCAAGTCATCACATATGAAATGCAATCAAAACACAATCAATGTGCCATGTCACCACATCCAATGTACAAAGTCATCAGCTATTATCAAATACAATATACATTCAAGATGTCATGTCCCCACATCCAATGTATCAAGTCATCAGCTATTAAATGCAATTATACAAACACATTCAATATGCCATGTCCCCACATCCAATGTACCAAGTCATCAGCTATCAAATACAATACATATTCAAGATAATATGTTCCCACATCAAATGTATCAAATACAATAGAAACACAGTCACTATGCAATGTCCCTAGATCACATATACCAAGTCATCAGCTATCAAATACAATACACATTCTACATATCATGTCCCCACGTTCAATGTATCACGTCATCAGATATCAAATGCAATAAAACACATTGATGTGCCATGTCCCCACAGCCAATCTACCAAGTCATCACATATCAAATACAAAAGAAACACATTCAATATGCCATGTCCCCACATCACATGTATCAAGTCATCAGCTATTAAATTCAATACAAACACATTCACTATGCCATGTCCCCACATCCAATGTACATAGTCATCAGCTATCAAATGCAATAAAAACACAATCAATGTGCCATGTCCCCACATCCAATCTACCAAGTCATCACATATGAAATGCAATACAAGGACAATCAATGTGCCATGTCCCCACATCCAATGTATTAAAGAGAAATAGAAAGAAAGAGGGAAAGTAAGAAAGACCTGCCAGTGTCACAAAATAATGAGGAATCAAAATATGCTCATCTGACCGTGATTAAATGCCTAAAACCCCTGGGCCTCCAGGGGTCGATTCCACCTAGGGCCCTATGGCGGGCCCCTGAATGCTCTCTGAACATAATTTAATACCTAAAACCCTCAGAACCCCACGCCAATTAGTGTCATGCCAGTGTCACAAATAAGGTATCAAAATATGCTCATCTGACCGTAATTAAACGCCTAAAAACCCTGAGCTCCCGGGGTTCTACCCCTGGACCTCACCTAGGGCCCCAAGGCGGGTCCCTAGATGCTCATCTGACTGTAATTTAATGCCTAAAACCCCTGGGCCTCCAGGGGTCGATTCCACCTAGGGCCCTAAGGGGGGCTCCTGGATGCTCATCTGAGGGTAATTTATTGCCTAAAACCCCTTAACTTCCAGGGGCTCTGCCCGATAGACCCCACGCCAATTGGTGACCTGCCAGTACGTGTCACAAACAAGGTATCAAAATATGCTCATCTGACCATAATTAAATGCCTAAAACCCCCGACCTTCCGGGGGCCCTAAGGCGGGCCCCTGAATGCTCATCTGAACATAATTTAATACCTAAAACCCTTAGAACCCCACGCCAATTAGTGTCATGCCAGTGTCACAAATAAGGTATCAAAATATGCTCATCTGACCGTAATTAAACGCCTAAAAACCCTGAGCTCCCGGGGGTTCTACCCCTGGACCTCACCTAGGGCCCCAAGGCGGGTCCCTAGATGCTCATCTGACTGCAATTTAATGTCTAAAACCCCTGAGCTTCAGGGGGCTCCACCCCCTGGACCCCACACCAATGAGTGTCCTGCCAGCCTCCAAATATGCTTATCTGACCGTAATTAAATGCCTAAAATCGCCAAGGTTCTGGTGGCTTTGCCGTTTCGACCCCAACAGGTGGCCTAAGATGGGCCTCTGAATGCTTATCTGACCATTATGAAATGCCTCAAATCTCTGGGTTCTTAGGGGGCTTAGCCCCCTTGACCCCATGCAAATTAGTGACTTGTCAGTGTCATGATTGAGGTATAAAAATATACTTGACCCCGCCGGGGGTCTGCCCCTAGACCCTACGCCAATTTACTCTATGCTCTACCTGATCGTAAGTACTTTATCATCCCACCACCCACTTTGAAAAACGTTCAGTAGGGCCTGCATGTAAGAGTGGGGTGATGCAGATTTTTTTTTTTGTCTGCCCCCCCCCAAACGTTTTTGCTCATTACGCCACTGACTGCTGGTCACCATTACGTACCAATATTTGGCTCACATAATTTCAAATTTGGGCCCCCCCCCCCCCTAAGAAATCCTGGATCCGCGCCTGCATGCATCGTGCCATTCAAGTCATCATAATTTGCAGTGTACATGTATTTTGAAGAAAAAAAAGAAAAAAATATATATATTCAAATATGACAAAGTGAACAGAATAAAGTTTTAAATAGTTTATTTCATTTATATAACAGTACATGAATTTACATATAAATGGCAATGCCTGGTCCACTCAAGTCTATAGTAATTAGAACAACTGGCTTTTTCAATAATATTGAATGCACAGGTATCAAATGAATATAACTGAAAAGGTTGGGAGTTGTCACAGAATCTGGTATAAATTCAATCACACTTCACCGGGGTCTAGTTGACTGTACTTGACTCAATGAGTAAGTTTAAGATGAGCTTCTAGTAACCTAGCCAACTGTCTCATGCACATTCTCTGTCATATCTTTCCTAGCTCCTTGCCAACTTTTAAAGCTTGCACACGAGGCAATTCTTCCAGAACTGGGATTAATGATGTACTGATATTTGTTGGAGTTTGATTTTTCTTGCAACCTTACCAGAAGGTGACATGCATCTTTGGATAGCTTCTGATTACTTAGGAAAGTGTCCCAAGCATCTTTTCTGACACATGTATCTTATATACCTACTGTAGTGATATGAATAAAGGTGTTTATGCAGGTTAATGCAACACTGCCATGTACTTTTATTTATATATTCATGCCCATGCATGCTCACTGAAGTGTATACCATTCAGGTGTAGGTCTGCAACTAGTGCAATAATACAATAATAATAATAATAATAATATTGGATATTTATATAGCGCACATATCCACCCTGCAAGGTGCTTGATTGTTATGTGGACATTCAAACAATGTTAGAATGGGAGTGTTAGCTCCTTGGTCATGTTGGTAGAGAGACACATGTTTTGGTGGGCTCTGGGAAAGGAGGTTTCTTATACACATAAGACTCCATGTTGAATTTGGGTGTGTCCTTGGCCGGACCTACATGTATATTGGAGAGATACAGAAATAGCTGTTCAAGTCTGAACCTACAATGTATCACTAAATATGGAACCAAATGGAATTCTTAAATCTTGCGTCCTTGTTGCTTGACTCGTTACACGACTATTATCCATCATGTAAACACTAGTCACTCTAGAACTGGGAATAATTCCCTGGTGGAATGGGTTTCAGTACATCCCTGCCAAATGGAGATACACATCGTAGATCAGCTTCGGATTACCAGGGCAACCATTCCTGGCATATTCTCTACCACTCTTCTCCACAGTAGAATGGTCTGTTCAGAACTAAGAATTATCCTGCTATTTGTTCTAGGAGAGGACGAGCACATCCCTAATAAGTGAATGCCAGCAGTAGATGCAGGAATGCCCCTGAAATGACCTTCCTGTCACCTAGGCAACCATCACTAACCTATCGCCTTCTATACAATTTAAAACTGTTTTATCAATCCTTCACACAGGTAGTCTTACCAGAAGGGGAAACCTGTTCTGGAGTAAAAGCGGGTCCATTTTTACCAATTGAGGGACAGCGCACATCACTCGCAACGATTTTCAGACGACAAGACAAAGGCGTATTCTCTCTAGATTTTGTAATAGCAGAAGTCCCGCTGTTTGTTCTAAAGCGAGGTCCAGCCTTACAAGTTGAGGGCCAGGACTCGTTACTCACAATTGATCATCAAACGATGCTTGATGGCAAGACCTAAGGGAGGGCCACATTCTCTCATTATCTGGGGGTGTTTCACAAAGACCCTAAGTCGAACTTAACTCTAAGTTGTACTTAAAAGTTATGGAGAGCCATTTGTAGCCTTAAAATGAAATATATTAAAAAGCAAAAATTCAAGTATTTCAAACTTTTCATAAATTCCAAATCAAGAACATGAAATCTCCTTGATAATAGAAAATATGAATGATTTGAATCAACATTTTATGCCTTTTAAAATAACTTTGACAAAATATTTTCATAGACGCTAACGGCTTTCCATAATTGTTAAGTCCAACTTAGAGATAAGTTCAACAGAAAGAGATGATACAAAGATGTATAGAGATATTTTTTTTCCTCAATCTAAGTGAGGTCTAGCGGATCCAAAATGGGTGATGGCAGGTACACCCATATATCCCAATGTTTGACTCAAAGAGAGACAAGAGAAAAGCACATAATCTGGAATAAGTTTGTCCTTTAGTTTGTTCTCAGTGAGTCCAATCTCAACGATACCAGATGATGGCCAGCACTCATCCCCCATAACTGTTCCTCCTATGATAGCAGTCTTCTGTCACTCCGATCAGCTACCGGCTGACTTGCCGACACCCTTAGGCATCTTTTTGCTTGATGCGTCCTCCAGTTCCTTGGCCTTGTAGTAGTGTGGAGCAGCCTCTAGCAACCAACCATTCTCTATCTCTATCACCTACATTGTGGAAAATGAGGGTAGGATTAGCAAATGTATGTTATATAGATGCTGACTAAAGGAAGATAAATGTTTAATTCTGTTATGTTTCCATGAAAATATACAAGATCAGGTGCTCCTGCAAATAGCGCAACCATCTTAATTCATCTCTAGTAAATACTTTGTCTTTTGCAAATTTCTATTGTACTTAATGCATATTTTAGACTTACTCATTTTATTGATATACATGTTACTTTATGTTCTTGGCACCCCTAGTGACTTTTGTATACTAGTCGTCTTGGAAAAGGCCCAAGGGTTGGAAGAATTCCACAGTCATTTTTTCTCACCCAGAAACCTTCAGGAGGCATAGTAGGAATAACGATAGAAGAAAAAAAAAATTAAAGTTGTTATACCTGTCTCATGAACTCCTTGGTTGTAAAGACAAGTTCATGGTAGATGAGCCATCTTGGTTGTTCTTCAAAGAGACCGCTATTGGGATGAACCATGACTGTCTGCTGGTGCTTGACTGTCTTGTAGTTACCTCCCTTACTGAAGCGTGCAGTATGGTAGAAGAAACCAGCAGTTACAGCCTGCAATATTCATTTGAAGTTGGGGAAGATTGCATTCAATAGGAATATTTCCTCATTATTACGATATCTACATGAATTGTTTTATTTTCATTTGAATGATTAATAAGATGTAATTATCATCATCATCGCCATCACTGTCATCATGATAAACATTGTCTTCATCAATGTCATCATCAATACCATCATCATCATTAACATTGTCATTAATATCATGATCATCATCATGATTAGTATCATTACCACTAGCACTATTAACATCATTCACCACCAACCACCTCCTCCTCCTCCTCCTCCTCCTCCACATCATCATCATCATCAAATCATAGAATTGCAAGGAGTTTATTCCACCCCACTACTCACCCCACACTTAGATTTGCTTGTAATATTATGTTTTGTATGTGTTTATTGTTTACTTTAAAAAATTATTGTATTTTAATATTGTAATTTTAAGCAGGGGATGATCCCTGATAAACCTCTGTGGTTTTTTATCACCCCCTCTGCAGGTTCATCTTTTGTTTTAATGCTTTTATATTTGATTGTAATTTATATTGTCTTTTATGAATCTGTGGAAATAAATGAAATTGAATTGAAAATTTAAATCGTCTACATCATACATGTTATTATCACCATCATCATCACTATCTTTTCATTGCCACTATAAATCAGACTAGTACATTTCATTGCAATCTTCTAATTTGCCTTGGAGGAGGGAGGGGGGGGGGGAATTACAACTATTAAAGACACTCAGTAGTTAGCTCTCGTGGGGAATTCAACACAGGTGTTTACCCAATAAGAGGCACTGTCATTCCTGTCAATCACCAGAATTAGCCTTCTGTTTCATGACCAGCAGGCCTTATGTAAGGTACTGCGGTTTCTGACCATTCCCCCACATGGTAAAGTCATTATCTCAATTTTCCCTCACCCGGAGATCTCCGAAGTACGAGGGGTATTTCTCGATTGGCCTACGGGTTCACTGTGTGCAGACCCAATATTTGTACACACGTTCATGATTTTTATCCACCAAGTCTGGTGTCAGCGAATTAGGGCCTTCTGTACATGGAAACTGACGAGTGACTCCCTTTAATATAAGAATGTCTTTTTATATTACCTTTCTAATAACAACGCTATCCATACCACAGCTCACAATCTCCATCTCAACTCTCTCCATGAGTCCCTGGAGCTGATCACGAACATCCCGCGCCCGTCTCATCGATCGATGCTGGATGAAGTTCTCAAAGCACCACTGAGTTGAGAATCCAGTCTCTACCCACTGTCCAATGAGAAAAACAATGTTGATAATAGTAATAACAAAGATGATGATAATGATAAAGAAGATGATGATGATGAATAATAATAATGATGCTGATGATGCTGAAGATACTGATGATAATTATAATAATGATAATAATAATAATGATAATGATAATGATGCTGATGATGCTGAAGATACTGATGATAATTATAATAATGATAATAATAATAATGATAATGATAATGATGCTGATGATGATGATGATAATGATAATGAAGATAATGATGATGATGATAATGATGATGATAACTCCTAATCCCTGCCACATCACTATTGTCCTTTGGCAAGGCATTTACCGTAATCTACACTGCCACTCCAAACCCAGGTGAGATACATGAGTACCTGTCGGAAGATATGTGGTGTATGCTTCAGTGCCTTATCGTTGTAGGTCAACCAAAGGTCAATCAATCTGATTTCAGTTTATTCAATGGTGCTTTAAAGTAATATAATGAAGCTGAATTCTAAGTTATAATCCTATTTTTACTCTACAATATCTGCATAAAAATTAATTTACAATATATGATTCAACTTCTTCGGACAAAATTATCAATGACAATGCATAAGCTGTACCTCGTTCTGTCACTCTGTATCAACCAAAAACAGCTGTACAATTAAATTATTGTTATCTACAGGAATTCCCAAATTTGATGTGATTCCTGACTTGAAATTATATTGTAAATTCAGCAGCTTCTCCTAGCACATGAATATTATTGGATAATGTTAACTGCTTTTGTTAATGGCTTATTTTATTACAAAAGTGAAACATCATGGTTCAGTCATTATTACATCTTCCTTTGTGGCTAACAAAAGTGAAATTTTAATGTTTATATAAACACTTCCTCCACAAAGACCACAATCATTTTGTATTTTAAGAGGTAGGATAATTAATTTCAGGTGGATGAAACAAAGTTACTGCATGGCTCTAGTGACTGTGAACACTTATTAATCAGCTTCTGAGTGGGTTGATCGTTGACTTTGTAATATTTAAACATATACAGTACTCATCAAACATGTTTGGTTTGGTTTGGTTGTGTCATCCCTATCTGGAAACTGACAATGCAAATTCGTCTGGGATATGGATATATCTTACACAGGAGTTTCATGATCGTTGATGAAGGATTTTGTGGAAACCATCATTTGACGGAAACAAATCTGTTTTTACAGGAAAGCAAAGGATTCAATACTATCAAACTGATGTAGTCACATGAGACCCTAGAGATATTCCACTGAGCGAAACCTTTGAGAAGTTCAAGGGTATTTTTTCTTCGGTAGCAGCACTCAAGAGATGATAATTATGATGGAGATCTTGTGGAAAACATAAAGTGACCAAAGCAACAAGCCCTTCAACCAATGATGATGAAACTAAAGGATTGCTGCATAAACAATTGAGGCCAAGACATGTAGTTATTGCAGTTAGTCTTCCATTAAGAAACAAAATTCTGCAGTAGTAGTGCATAGTACCTAAGAGATCACACATTCCTATAATGTAAATCTCATTAATTGCGGAAATAAACTGGCCCTTAGATAAAAGATTGATGGGACCATCTGACTGCTGTGAATGAATACGAAGAGTTATTGCAAGAAGGTGAGATCCTCGAAATCTTGAAAGGTACGTCATCTGCAATTGGGGCACCAAAATATTACAATATTTTTATGGTGTTCTTGTGCAAATCACTCATTCACAGAAACAAATTGGCCGTAACGTGAAAAATTTACAGGAATATTCCACTGTTGTGAAAGGAGCCAAAGAGATATTTTAGTTAGTGAGACTTTCCAAATCTCCAAGGGATTTTCTTCTCCAGTAGTGACATCCAAAAGATCACAATGTCCAAGTCAAGGATGAATTGTACGACCTCAAGAATTCCTCTCTGCTTGTGGATTGCATGTGTTTTATCCTTGTTTTCTGGAGCATTGCCTGGGAATGACATAGCGGGCAAGGATGAAAATTGGAGCTCTGTCTCCCCCAGTGGATGCCAGCTCACGAATACCAGCCTCGGTACCAGAGCTATCTGTACTCATCTGGGTCTTTGGTCTGTTCCTCAAGATCTTCCACGCAACACAACAGTACTTGATCTCTCCATCAATCTGATAACAACCCTGTACAATGAGTCTTTCACCTATCTTCCAGACATCATCACACTTGCAATCGGCAGAAATCAACTTTTGGTGATAGAAGACGGTGCCTTTGAGCATTTGGGTAATCTCAAACAATTAATCCTAGAGAGAAACCGCCTAATGTCCCTTCCAGCAGGTTTACTTAGTTCAAATAGACTTCTCTCGGTGCTCCTCCTCGGTAGCAACAAGCTGAGTTCTATTCCAACAAATGCTTTGCCGTGGTCTGATAATATCTCTTTGTTTGATCTGACCAACAACACCATCTCCTTTATAAGACCCTTAGACTTCACACCCCTTCAGAACTGTTCATCGATACGACTATTTCTCAGCAATAATGCATTAAACAATCTTCCATCAAATGCTTTCTCAGCTTTGAACAAAGTCATCGAGTTGGCTCTTTCAAAGAATGCTTTTCAGGAATTTTATATCTCTTCTATTCTAGCAAACAATGAAATTGATGTACTGGTCTTGAAAGGATGCAAAATATATCGTGTAATTCCCCTGAACCAAACTCATAACCATCTAGATGTTTCTCCCAAGATATATATCATAAATCTCCAACTCAACAAGCTTAGCTCCTTCCCAAATTTTGTGTTTTGGGGTTTGAATCAGACAAGTATTTTATTACTTCAGCACAATCACATAAATGTTTTATCAAACAGGACCTTCTGTGGATTAGACCAGCTGGTTGAATTAGATCTATCCCATAATAGCTTGACATCCTTACCCCTAGGCATGTTTTCCTGCAATAAACTGATACAGCGATTGATGCTTGTTGGAAATAATATTGCAAGCTGGTCCATTGGTATATTATCTAATCTATCCTCTCTAAATCACCTAGACCTGGCTCATAACAATATCAAGGATATTGAGAGAAGAACCACCATAACATTTCCTTCCTTAGCATATCTGGATCTTTCTTTTAACAAATTCACAAAGATCAAGAAGTATCTTCTATGGGGTTTCACTAATCTCAAAATATTAAACATGTCTCACAATGAAATACAAGATGCCTATTCTCCAAATGCCTTCACCAAGCTGAAGAACCTCAAAGAGCTTTACCTCACCAATGAACCTAATTACCAAGTCATCAATGGAGCTTTTCGCTACATGGATGCTCTTTGCACATTAGATTTATCAGTTGCACGGGCCGTTATTCATTCGAAACTCCAATTTACAAATACTACATCTCTCGTGAAACTGGCTATGCGTGAAAATGGTTTGATGAGCACAGATTTATTTGATACCATGACCTCTAAATCACTCTTTTTGGGACTTAGATCATTGGTTAGGCTGGACTTAAGCGGGAATTACCTAGATATGTTAGCAGCAGGAACTTTCAACCCCATGAAGAGACTTGAAATACTGCTCCTCTCTCATTCTTCTATCAAAGTCCTAGTTCCCAGTGTTTTTCACAGTCTGATTTCTCTCACAAGATTAGATCTTCGTGACAATGAGATCTCGGCAATTTCTGGAGATTTACTTCAAAGACAGCCCAGGCTTGGATTCTTTTTCTTAACTAATAACAAACTTGATTCGATTCCCAAGACCCTATTCAATAAAACCCCATCTC